GACGGATATCATGGGTCGCACGTTGCGGGCCAGGTTGCAGGACATCTACGGGCGCGAGCAGAAGATCTTCTTTGACCGTGATCGTGGCTGGCTCTCTCCCTCGCGGGGCGCGCAAGGTCGAAACTTTCCCTGGCCGCGAAGCTACCGAGATGCTCTGGAAAATTGGCACCATCGCGGAGTGCGGCCTGTCGAAGCAGGTCCTGGTCGATGCAGTGCAAGGGATCATCCAGTCCGATCTTGAGCCTGAGTGGTGTCTTTAGCCGCTTCGCCGCGCTGCTCGCGCGGTCTCGCTTCCAGTCTCTGTTTGATTCCTCCTCAGCAGGAGGCCTTCGTTTGGTCTCCTGGAACACGAGCTACTTTCCAATTCGAGGGGGCCCGCGTTGGTGTCAAACTTAGGTGCCTCCAGAGGCTCCGGCTGGGCTCTACAGTCACCGCCTTGCAGGAGTTGCATCAGAGCGAGGCGCAATTAGCATCTCTTGTGAATCGCGCCCTCCCAGGAGCTGTCATTTGTTCGAGCTTCCGTGGCGAGGCCTGCGCCAGCCGTGTCCGTGGTGGGGCGCCCGCGACCGTGCCGGGGAACTTTTGCCGAGGCCAGCGTATGTCCTTCCTCCCTCCTGGTGTCGCACTGCCCCTGCCGAGCCTCCCACTGCATGTCGAGTCTCACGTGCCGCCTTCGAAAATCCAGACGCGAAATCAATACATTATTACGTACATAATCATGAGTCATCCTCAGAACAAGCACGGGGCGCGTGCAATCGCATGCATCGGGGCCGTAGTTTAGCCGAGGCATCGCCAGACCCTGTCCTGCTCGTGGCGCATGGCGACTTCACTTTTGCCGATCGTGAAAAACTGTCGCTCGCGCAGCCTGTGCAGGTTCAGAGAATGGCCCGCCCATCTCACGCCCAGGCCCAGCGGCGGTCTGATGCTCTCGATTCCTCGGTTGAGATTTCGCCGGCGGCTGCCGCGCACTTCGATGCTCGCTCGGACGCCGTCGCCGCGATTGATAGATTCTCGCGCTCGCGCCTGGATGAGCGCTTTCAGATGTTCGCCAGTGCTCGCGTCGGAGAGGCCCCCGAACAGCTTCGTCGACGAGGAGTCAGTGATCACGCTGCGTTGATTATCTCGTTCTGCCAGAGGAAACCCCAGGAGCCCTCCGAGCGCCCAGTTCCGAAGCACATTTGCAGGTCGCGGGGGGATCGCAGCACCCTCGCCGAGTTCATCGTCGTGGAGGCTGCCCACTTGCAGGCCGCGCGCCCTCCCCGACGGCTTGAGCGACAGAAGTGCATGATGCAGGAGGCTGGGGGGGAAGCGAGTGACGCGCTCATGTTTCGTAAGCCGTCGGACCCCAGGGCGCGACCCCTTCTTGCCCGCGCCATCGCGCGCGCTGCCTGCCGCCAAGACGCCCATGCAGCTGAACGTCTTTTTGGCCCTCATGCTGCTGCTGCTGATGATTATGTTCGCGCGGGAGGCTCCCATGTTTCACTCGTTCATCCTGCGGCGTTTAAGAGTTGGTTTGGTCCAGTGCTGCGCAGCTGCGGGCCGCCGAGCTCGACGGAGATGCTGTGCGCGCGCGCGGTTGGAACAGGCGGGGGGGGAGGGGGTCGGACCACGGGAGAGGCAGCATTTGCAAGCGATTGAGAGGAGTGCTAGGATTTAGGCACCTTTCGCACGTCGGCTCACCTTGCGCGCTGTCATCGTGGGCGGGGTTAAGGTATCACCTGGTCTACTAAGCCTCCACGCCACCCAGTCTCTGGGCGGGGCGCCGTCGCCGAATCCGTCTTTTGCAAGGTGCACCTACTGTTCGGGACCGCCGCCGCCGCCGCGAATTTGCATCGGTTGTTTGTGAGACTGCCTTCAGCCCACCCCGCTACCGCGCCTGGGCCGTGGGCCAGAGGCCTCGTCGCGGTTGCGCGTTTGCTCCCTTCGAAACAGAACTATATTGTGCAATTCGTCGCGGTTGCGCGGTTGTTCCTTTTGTGTGGGCGTTTCGGGCCTGGGGGGGTTTAGAAGAACTATGTTGTGTAATTCGTCGCGGTGGCATGGAGAGTTCGGGCCTAGGGGGGTTAAACGACGGCGAAGCGTGATATTTCCAGACATTTCTTGGACATGTTTTGTTACTTTTGTTTTCGGTGCGCGTTCGTGGGTTGAAGGTTTCGTTTGATTTTGGAAGCGATTGCGGGCGCTTTCGGATAAGAGAACGGAGGTATTTTTGAATTGGGTTGCGGCGTCGGATTCCGGCTCGTATTTCGCGGCCCGACGATCTTCAAATCAAAATACATGTGGTAAGAATGTACGCACGCATGCGCGCGAGTTAAGCACGTCTACATACATTATCTACACCGATATCTTTCCATGCTCATGCCACGTAGTACATATGGTGTGCGCAGAGTCCGCCGCCCTCGTTTTTATATTGTCGGTTTGGCTTTTGCGCGCGGCCGCCGCCAATTTTTTGTAACACTTACCTAGGGCCCGGGGCAGTGGCCGCCAGATTTGGGACCCCTCCTGCATAGTGTTTTTTGTTTTTTTCGTCGCCGCCGTGGGAATTCTGGTGAATACTTTTTCTCGAGTGTCGACCTGGTGATGTTAAGGTGGGGGACGACGCGGGCAGACGCTCTGCGCTGGCATCGCACTGGGGGCCGATCTTCGTTCGAAAACCGTGACCTCGAAATACAGCTTCCACTCATTGTGATCGATTCGTCCGCCCTGTCGATTTCGCAGATGTGCCGCCGCCAACGCTGTCCACGATGAAACGGGTTGCCCAGTCCGCGTGCGGTTCGGCCCCTGGAGTTGACCGCCGTTGCTGCGCTGCCCAGCTTGCTCGGCCCAGTGGCCTTTCTGTTTCGCGCGACGCGCTGCTCCGGATGCTCGCTGGAAGCTATTTGTTTGCTGCCGAGAGCTTGGCGCCCCAGGCGCTGCTTCCCAAGGGCGAGGCCATCGCGGATGCGATCGAGGGAGGTTGTGAGAGGGAGGCTTCGGCCGTGAGAGTTCTCGGTCTCCGCGGCGCCAGCGCGAAGTTGCTCGCGGCCACTTTGAGCATGGCCATCCGCCGCCCACTTGCACGCTTCGTTCCTGCTGACCAGAAGGGGGTCCTGAGGGCGGGGGGATTTTTTGTGCCGTGACATCTTAGAGGTGGACCATCTCGCTCGGGCGCATTCCTAGTTTCCAGGGGCCGACCGCCGGCGCCCCCGGATCTACGCATTGGATTACGGCCGCGCGTCCCCGAGCTTGTCCAAGGAGTTCGCGCTCCTCGTTCTGGAGAAGATGGGATGTCCAGTGCCGCTGATCAATGTCGCAACGGCCATGTATGCCAGCATCGAGGGGGCGATGTCGGTCCAGGGGCAGTTGGTTCACGCTCTCTGGATTCGGTCTGGCATCGCCCAGGGCTGCGCGTTATCGGGGTCCTCGTTCGCGGCCGCTCTGGCCCCTGCGTCGCTGGACCTCCACAAATCCTTCGGGCCCCCCAAGAAAGGCATCAACCGCGCCTGTGCCGACGACATGGGCGGATCCTTGTCGGGCGTGCGTATTATGCTGCAGCGTCGGAGAGTGATGAAGGTCGTCGAGACCACCGCTCATTTGTGCCTAAATCCCGCGAAGTGCGCGCTGACCCCAGTCTCTGGCCCAGTCACTCCCGAGCTCAAGAAGCGTGTCCAGGATTTCCTGGGGATGTCCATCCCCGAGTAGTCCCAGTTTCGCATCGCGTCGAAACTCTTCTACCTGTGGATGTGGATTGGTCTCGCCGCCGAGCTTGAAGATTCCTGGTCTCTCCCTCGTGCTAAGTGCAAAGACCCCGCTGCTGCGATCGGTGCGGGGAACGCGCCAGCGTCTTCCTCGGCAGCGCTGCACAATGCCCGCTGCGCCCCCCGCGCTGAGCTACGCGATGCAGCTTTTTGCCGCTACCGCCGCAAATTAAGGAGCAGGAGAGAGGGGCCCTCGCCCAGAGCTTTCGCCTCCCTCTCGGAGCCCTAGGACCCCGCGCATGGCCCAGTTTTGGCGAGTGGAACGGCCCCCGTGCATGCCCTCTAGAGATCCTCAGCATCGCGCCTCTCGCTGATTCGGCTACGTCGGCTCTCCCTGAGTGTGGACGTCTGTATCGTTGGCTTGTGAGGATGACCGACGCGCCCGAGACACCGAGTGCAAACGATGGGCGTCTGATTGTTCTCCCGCCTGGAAGGCGGTGCCCTGGACGTTGGAAGTCTCGTGAAATTGACGAATATCTTCATGGAGATGTTGCTGGCGTGGGCGGCCCTGCACATGCCGCTGCCGCCCGTGCTTGCCGTGAAAATGGGGTGAAGCCCCAGTGTGCTGCGAAACTTATATGCATAGAGTGATGGCCGTCTGATAGTCTTGAGAGTTTGTACAAATCTCGTCCGATCAAGTAGGTGGTGGCCCGAGGGGGCCGACGAGAGTGGCCATCGATTGGCCTGCCATCCGATGTGTTGTGAAATATGTTCCCCCGTCGCGGGCCTGGGCTTGGCACCGTGCGATGAGCGGGGGCTGGCCGACGCCCCATGGAATTCTGAGTGAGAAAGGCCGAGTAGGATGCATTTTCGGATGTGAGGGTGAGCTTGATCGGCAGTCTCACTATGCCGTTTGCCCACGTCTTGCACGGTCGGTTTCTAGTGTTCTCAGATATCGAAGTTTGCCCCTTGATACCCTTCGGAAATGGGGGTCCCTGATTGCACCGTCCCTGGTCTTGAGGAAGTGTCTCTTGCTTCTCACGTCTACCATTTTCTTCGCTCCCTCCCCCCCTTTCCGCTCTTCTCCGCCCCGCCGCGAATCTGGGCGCCGCCTACGCGGCCCTGCGGGACGGCTCCTTCTCCTCCACCTCCTCCTTTTCCTCCCCCTCCTCTTCGGCCCAAGCCAACGAGCGGCGCGCATCGGCTCAATCCGCCCCGCGCCGCGGGCGCGGCCCCCCCCCCGCAGCCCGCCCGATGGGCTCGTCGGGCTCGAAGTTCGTCCCCTTGCCCTCGAGACAGAAAGATGGAACGGTACTCTGCGAGATGCAGGCGCGCGAGGGGGGAGGAGAAGGAGGGAGGAGGAAGAAGAGGGGGAGGAGGAGGAGGAGGAGGAAGAAGAAGAAGAAAACAAATAATAACAAGAAAAAGAGGAGGAGGTAAAGGAGGAGGAGAAGGAGGGACGGGGATCCCGGAGGAGCAGGAGGAGAAGGATGAGGAGGAGGAGGAGGACGAGAAGGAAGAGGATGTGGAAAAGGAGTGAGTAGGATGGATGGATGATGATGATGATGATGATGATGATGATGATGATGATGATGATGATGATGATGATGATGATGATGATGATGAGGAGGAGGAGGAGGAGGAGAGGAGGAATACTACTACTAATAATAATAATAAAACTAATACTAATACTAATAATAATAAAAAATAATAATATGATGATGATGATGATGATGATGATGATGATGATGATGATGATGATGATGATGATGATGATGATGATGATGATGATGATGATGATGATGATGATGATGATGATGATGATGATGATGATGATGATGAGAGGAGGAGGAGGAGGAGGAGGAGGGGAGGAGGAGCAGGAGGAGGTGGAGGAGGAGGAGGGAGGAGGAGGGGAGGAGGAGGGGGGGGGGACCCCGGAGGAGCAGGAGGAGGAGGAAGAGGATGAGGAAGTGGAGTGAGTAGGAGGGAGTAGGAGGAGGAGGAGGAGGAGGAGGAGGAGGAGGAGGGACGGGGACCCCGGAGGAGCAGGAACAGGAGGAAGAGGATGGGGAGGCGGAGTGAGCAGGAGAGAAGAGGAGGAAAAATGAGAATATGAAGTATACTCAATAATCGAAGAAGAGGAATACGTATATTGTAAGCAATAAAAGTAAGACTAGCACGAACATTTATATTGGTAACACTGGTAATAATAAAAACACGAACACTACGAATAATAATTATGATCGTGCGAATACGGATAATACTAATTAGACGAATAATAATACTGTCAAGCATAACAATAGCAATACGAAAAGTACCATGACAACTTGACATATACTAATAAAACGAGGAGGATGAGGTGAAGGTGAAGGAGGAGGGACGGGGATCCTGAAGGAGCAGGAGGAGGAGGAAAAGGATGGGGAGGCGGAGTAAGCAGGAGGGAGGAGGACAAGGAGTTGGAGAAAAACAATAACAATAATAGTAAACATGCGAATAATTATATACTAGCAATAATAGGATGAGGAGGTGGAGGAGGAGAAGGAGGAGAAGGGACGGTGATCCCGGAGGAGCAGGACGAGGAGGAGGAGGAGGAAGAGGATGGGGAGGCGGAATGAGTACGATGGAGGAGGACGAGGAGAAGGAGGAGGACGAGGCGGAGGAGGGAGGAGGAGGAGGAGGAGGAGGAGGAAAAGGACGAGGAGGAGGAGAAGCAGGAGGAGGAGGAGGCAGGAGGGAGGAGGAAGCAGGGAGCAGGGAGGATGAGTTGGTACAGGACGAGGAGGAGGTGGAGTCTTTTGAGCGATAGGCTATATTCACGGACCTATCCCATCAAGGCTCATTAAGGCTCTTTTCTCAGGGGCTCATCAAGGCTCACTGCATTCAAATGCATAATCGAGGGTGTGCACTGCGAGCCCCGAAAGCGGCAGAGGGGGGACGAGTAGGAGGGAGAAGGGAGGGGAGGAGGGGGAGGAGGATGGAGAGGGGGGGGGGGGGAGAGGGGGAGGGGAGAGGGGCAGGTGATGGAGAGGAACTGGAAGGGAAGGATGAGAAGAAGGAGGGATCGGATGTTGAAAATTAGGCTGATGGGATCGGGATGGCGGAGTTCAAGGACGTGGAGGTTGGGAGGAAGGCAAGGATGTCGAAGGGGGATAAGGGGGACGACGAAAGGGGGAGGATGGGGGAGGAAGGTGGAAGACGGGATGAGGGAAGAGGGGAAGAGGGCAAGGATGGAATGGGTGGCGAGAACGACAATGATGACGATGCCGTTGGCGATGACGATGACGATTGCGATGATGATGTTGATGATGATGCTGCTGATGACGATGATGAGGATGGTGATGATGATGCTGATGGTGATGGTAGTGGTGGTGGTGGTGGTGGGGATGAGGAGGATGATGGTGGTGAGGAGGAGGATGAAGATGATGATGATGCTGATGATGGCGATGACTCTGCTGCTGATCCTGATGATGATGCTGAGGATGGCGATTATGCTGCTGATGGCGATGATTATGGTGATGAGTGTGATGATGATGATGATGATGATGATGATGATGATGATGATGATGATGATGATGATGATGATGATGGTGGAAATGATGATGGTGGTGGTGATGTTGATAATGATGATGCTGGTGATATTGATGATGGTGAGTCTGATGATGGTGATGATGGTTATGATGTTGATGAAGATGGTGAGTGATGCTGGTGATGCTGATCATGCTGATGATGATGGTGATGATGATGGCACTGCAGATGTCGATGGCGACGATAATGACTATGGTGAGTATAGTGGTAATGGTGGTGGTGGTGATGGTGATGGTGAGTGTGAGGGTGATAGTGCTGATGATGATGGTGGTGGTGATGAGTATGATGATGGTGATGATGATGCTGCTGCTGCTGATGATGATGATGATGATGGTGGTGCGGATGATGCTGATGCTGATGCTGATGCTGATGCTGATGCTGATAGTGGTGAAGATGATAAGGATGATGATGGTGATGATGATGATGATGATGATGATGATGATGATGATGATGGCAATGAAGATGACGATGGCAATGATCATGCGGGTTGTGATTATGGTGGTGGTGATGATGGTGGTGGTGTCGGTGAGGGTGAGGGTGATGGTGTGGATGATGGTGCTGATGATGATGGTAATGATAATGGTGAGGAGGAGGAGGAGGAGGAGGAGGAGGAGGAGGAGAAGTAGGGGATGATAATGAAGATGACGAGCAGAAGGTGGTGGAGGAGGAGGAGGAGGAGCAGCAGGAGGATGAGAATGAGGAGGAGGAATGAGGAGGAGTTGAAGGATAGTCACAGGTGAACCACATCCGTGATGCACACAGCGTCGTCGGGTTGATGCCAGACAACTTTGTTCCGGTCAGCATCGTGCCGAAGCATTGGAACTCCAGGTTCTGTTGTGGCTGTTGCTGCTGTTGCTGGACTTCGGTGCCCTCAGGCTTCAGGGGGGGGAGGAGGATCAACAGACGGAAGGTCAGGAGGAGGAGGAGGAGGAGGAGGAGGAGGAGGAGGAGGGGTTCGGTGCCCTCAGGCTTCAGCGCCATGGTGTCCGCATGGGGCAAAGACTTGGAGGGGGCCGAGGAGGATGGAACCTGGGAGCCCGGCTTTCACTGGATGTGCCCGTGGCACCGCGTGAATCGGCTGGTCTCTCGGCAGCTCATCATCTTCGACACTCCGGTCAAGGCTGTCAAGACCGCGGATAATCTAGATGCGTTGCCGCGAATACCCGCCCTCGGCATCCCCCCAGGGCCCACATCGATTTGGTCAATCCGATTCGGTATCGATTTCGGCACGCCGGATTTGCTTCGGTTCCGATGTTCCTGCGGTCCGATGCGCCCGGCGCTTGCGAGGCACTGTGCTGCACCGTGGCGCAGCCAACCCGACTCGAGCTCGACCCCGTGCCGATGCAGCCCGATCCGGCGCGCAGTCCGAGCCGAATCCGATTTCGCGACTCGATGCCGATTGGTCCAGCCCTGCTCGTCCTCGCGCCCTCCCTCACTATTCCCCTCCCCCCTGCACCGCGCCTGCAAGCGCGGCACGGCTGCGCCGCGTGGTGGTTGCGCCCGCCTTTGGGGGGCCTCCTCCGGACCATCTGGGGTGTGGTTTCTGCTGGCGGCGCGCCCTAGAGGGGGGCTGCCGGCACGAAGAAGAGGGGGGGTCCTGGGGCAGACAGGTCTTGATGCTTCTCGCTGTGTTCGACTTCTGGGGGCCGTTCCCGTGCCGGGCCGTCAACAGAACGACTCGGGATGACGGGGCAGCCCCGGGGTCGAGGACAGGTTTCTGTCAGGGCCCGCTGCCTTCACAGGGGTGGCGGTGTGGAGGCGGGCGACGGAGGGGGCGTGCCTGGCGTGGCGACGGAGTGGGCGTCAATGGGCAGACAGATTCGAATCCCCAAAGCACCATCTTTACTGAGATCAACATTGGTGTCGGGGGCTTGGGGGGGATTCAGAATCTCCCTCGAATGTGTAAATGTTCGAATATATATATATATACATACATACATACATACACACATACATACATACATACATACATACATACATACATACATACATACATATACATATACATATACATATATATACATATACATATACATATACATATACATATACATATACATATACATATACATATACATATACATATACATATACATATACATATATATATATATATTGTCCATCTACTGGCCATCTTGGGGCGTGCTGCGGCCGGAGGAGGTTCCAGGGGTGGCAGTGGGCCAGTATCCTACCGGATGAATCCGTCATCTTGGGCGGCACCTCGGGCGTCTGGGGGCAGCCTAGAGTGCTCACATGCGGGGGGATATGAACGGCTTTGAACTTTCTGGGCAGAGGACTCGGGGAGCAACATCTGGGCGCGTGATTCCCTCGAGTCGCTCAGGTCGCCGAGTGCTTCGCAAGGATGGGCACTAGTAGCCTACCAGGGGTCCGACATGCAGCGAAGCCGCGGCAAAGCGTGATGTCGGATATATCAGTTGAGCTAGACGTACTTGTTCAGTTTGAGATCAGTAACGCGAGAGACTTCATTTACCACATCGGGCCAGACAAGTTCGATGACCTGCTGCGCTCGCACCAGGAAGAGGTTCTGCGGCAGATCGCAACCGAGACCCCCGTGGAGAACATATATGATCTCAATGGCTACAGCGAGGGCAACCTGGAGGGGCGATTCCAGGGCTTCGTGAACGTGATGAACGCGAAGCTCGAAACCTTCGGTGTTAAAATCCACCACTTCACTGTCAGGAAGGTGAGGATTCCGCAGGACATGGCCGCGGACTTCGAGGAGAAGACGCTTTACGAGTCCAAGACTCTGGAGAAGCAGATGCAGCAGGAACGGGACCGATTGCACCTCGACCAGAGCGAGGCAAAGATGAAATTGGAAGAGGACATGGGGGGCACCGGCTTGCTATACTGACCAGGCCCATTTTGGAGCCAGTATTGGCGCAGAGCCTTCCCTGACGATACCAGCGAGCAGGAAGAACCACACATTATGGCTGCATATAATTACCTATGACATCCTGGGACTAGGATGGGCCTGGCCAAGTTGGTGTATAGTCGGTGTGCCCCCCGAGGAATGCGAAAATGCCAAGATGGCACAGGAGGAAACCCAAGGAACCAGCTTGGCGCAGCTCGTCAAAGAAGTCCGCCAGGTAAGCCTGCTGCTGCTGTCATTCCTCCCTCCACGTCGTCGTCGTCCTCCTGCTGCTCCTCCTCCTCCTCCTCGTCCTCCGCTCCTCTCTTCCTTTGTTACTATACATACATATACATATGTATATGTGTATATATATATATATATATATATATATATATATATAGTGTCTCTAGTTTATGTCCTCCCTCCTGCTCCTCGTCTCCCTTCTCCCCTTCTCCTCCTCCTGCCCCTCTTCTTCCTCCTCCTCCTCTTCCTGCACCTTTCTCCTCGGCTTGCTTGCTGCACCTCCTCCTCGTCTCTCTTCCTCCTCCTCCTCCTCCACTTCCTCCTTCTCTTCCTCTTCCTCCCCCTCCTCCTCCTCCTCCTCCTCCTCCTCCTCCTCGTCAATCCTTTTCGTCTCTCCTCCCCATCTCTCCTTCTGGTTCTCCTCGTCCTCCTTCTCCTTCTCCTTGTCCTCCTCTTCCTCCTCCTCCTCGTCCTCGTCCTCCTCCTCGTCTCACCTGCTGCGCTGCTGCTCGTCTTTCATATTTCCCATACCTTGAAATGGGGCTCTTGCTATTTCCCAGATCCAAAGATTCGGTTCTTGTGATTACTCAGACGGTTCCGAGATAACAACCTCCTCACCTCATACTCCTCTTACTCCTCAATCAGAGTGACTAACTCACACTCCGACCCACACATCTCGTTCATACTCAGATTCGCTCACACCCAGGAGCACCCACACTCAGTTTACCTGACACTCTGATTCACTCACACTCAGATTCCTCACTCATACTCGGACTCAGCACGTGCAGACTCACTCACACTCAGGCTCACTCACACTTAGTCTCACTCACTTTCGGACCCACTCGCACTCATACTAACACGCACTCCTACCCCTCTCGTACCCAGGGTGGTCCAATCCTCACCGCGATCTGGCAAGCGTAGCATTTTGGCACCCCAAAGAGGGGGCCCCAGGGGTCAGGACGTTCCAGGATTCGCGCCCAGATTGTGGGGATGTCTCAGGCGGTGTGCTTGTTTGCATGCCCAACGCCCTCTGCTTTCGGAGTAGGTTCTGAGGATCTCAGGCGGGGCGCTGGCTTCAGCACTCCTAAGGGGAGGCGCCGTGGGTCAGGACATTCCAGGACTCGCGCCCCGATTGTGGGGATGTATCAGGTGGTCTGCTTGTTTGCATACCCATCACCCTCTGCTTTCGGAGCAGATTATGATGATGTCTCGGGCGAGGCGCTGGTCTCCACGCTCCTGGGGGGGAGGGAGGGGGGCGCCCAGAGGTTCAGGACATCCCATGATTCGCGCCCAGGCTGCGGGGATGTTTCAGGCGGTTTACTTGTTTGTGTGCCCAACACCCTGTGCTTTCGGATCAGATTCGGAGGATGTATCCGGTGAGACGCTGTTTCAGAACTCTTACAAAGGGGGCGCCACGGGTCATGACATTGCAGGAGTCGCGCCCAGATTGTGGTGATGTCTAAGGCGGTTTGTTTGTTAGCATGCCCGACACATTCTGCGGATTCTGAGGAGGTCTCAGGCGAGGCGCGGTTTCCGCACTCCGAGAGGGGAGGGGGAGGGGCGCCAGGGGTCAGGACATTGCAGGATTCGCGCCTGGATTGCGGGGATGTCTCAGGCTGCTTGCCTCCTTTTTGCAGGCCCAGCACTTTTTGTGTGCGATATAGCAGGCGTAGCATTTGGGCACTCCAAAGCAGAGCCGCCAGAGGTGGGGACATTTCAGGATTCGCGCCCAGATTGTGGGGATGTATCAGGAGGTTTGCCCGTTTCTACCCCCCAGACTTTTCTTTAGATTTGGGTGAGTACTCTTTTCTCTGTCTCTCTCTCTCTCTCTCTCTCTCTCTCACACTCACTCACCCACTCACTCACTCACTCACTCACTCACCTCCTTTCCTTTTCATCGCACGGCAACTTGTTGCACGTGTCGAAAAAAACAGGATCCGAGTCAGGCCTTGGGTTACGAAGTGAGAGGGGAGATAAAATGGAAGGAGTAGCATGTTGATGTGAGTATGGAGATTGTTGGGCACGCGAGCCTTCGGGTCAAGGCCTGGGGGGCCTTCAGCATTTGTTGGGCGACACGCATGTTGAACATGTCTTTCGGCAGTACTGCCCAAGCCAGGTTGAAGAGGAGGCGGTTCTGCGCGTGGCCGGCTTGTTCGAGGAAGCTGGGATTACCCATGCGTGGCAGCTAAAGCACGTGACGGAAGACATAGTAAACATTGCATGCGCGGACGTGTTGACGAACGACCATGACCATAGAGCATTCATCCTTGCCTCGGAGGTTGTGGGTGCATGCTGGGCCTCGTTGAAAAGCTCTCCGGCGCTGGGGCCTGGCCACCGCGCCGCTCGGGACGACTTCTAGAAAGAATCGGTCAAGGTAATGCGAGCAGTCGCAAGGCGTGCTAAGTCCACGCGTGAGAATTCGCCGTCATCCTCAGATTCTGGTGGTCACCAGGGAACGTCGATTGACGTCTGCGGGGCCTTGAGGCGTTACGGCCTCGAGGGCCTCCCGCTTGAACACATGCCCAAATCGTCTGTGCTGCGGGCAATGTTCCGCAAAGGACGGCGCCATGCGGATCGCAAGAAGCTTCCATGGTTCAACGGAGAGCTCCACAAGGAATTTGAGCCGACGTGAAGGGCCACAGACACGGCTTTGCGGCAGCCCCAGAAAGGGTCTACTTTCGCATCTTTAGCTCACTTTGCGAGTTGCTATTGGTCTCGTGCCTTATCCCAGCTTGCTCTGCAGGCGACGGTCAACCAGGAATCGGTGTCCATCCGGCGGTTCGTTCGCCGCTTTTTGGATTTGTGTTTGGTCTCGCAAGAGTCGTCCGTGCTTGTCGCTTACGAATATGATCGGCAAGAACGGATCATGCTTGGGACCCGCATCAACAGCCGGGACCGCCAGGTGCATCCAGAGACTGCGTTCGAGCGCATCGATTCACACGTCAAGAACGAAGTGAAGGACCTGTGCTCGCGCACGAAGGGCACGGGCCAGCCTCCGCACCGCTGGCAGCCGCAGCAGCAGGGCGGAAGCGCTGGGTCAGCCAGCTACGGGCCCGCCAGCTACCCCCCCGCGCGGCCGCAAGGGAGCCTTCGGCCGGGGGGCGGCGCCCCCGCCGCCGCCGCCGCGGCCGGCCCCGCCGACCCCCGCCGGCGGCTACGCCAACGCCTGGCCGCGCAAGCGATAAGGAGGGGACCTTGCGCGCGCGCGCGCCCAGGGCCCCGTTGCGCGCATGGCACGCAGTGCTCGTCATGCGAATGATTCCATCTCATATTCCCCGCATGGGGAGGTTGAAAGCAGGTCATCATTGTTGCCCGCGCACCCGGCTTGCGAGGATGCGCCGCACGGCCCTCCTCGCCCGTTGTCCTCCGCCCCCCCACCTCCCCTCCCTCAGCCTCGCTTCCCTGCCCGCCAGGAGGGTTGCACGTCGTGGAATGCAGTGGGCCTGGTTGCGCCCGTCGTTCGCATCAGCCGCGCACGTGCGAATCCTTCTCCCTGCAACGACCCGCTCCGCGCGGCACTCCCGCTGCTTCCAGGTCGCCGCGGCGGTCTCCGACGGGGGGCGCCGCGTCTTGCCCCAGGCAGGGACCCCGTTCATGCGATGTCGGATTGGCTGACGCCTGCGTCCGCGCACCCGCTTGCCCAGAGGATCACATCGTTCGTGCTTGTTCTGTTCCACGCACGCGGCAGACCGTGCCAGAGCTACCGCGCCAAATTTGCACGAACACCCAAGAGATCATCTGCGAGCCGGCGCGCGTGTCCCAAGGGAGGGAGAAATGCGTGCAATTTTGGACGCAGAAGGGCTTCTGCTCTGGATGGCGAGCGTTCCACATGTAAAGCAGACTTGCCACAAAAACTTGCACCTGCGCTCGGTAAGTTGCACGTTCCGTTGCTTCGGGAGATGTCGCGCGCAGCTGAACGCGATGATCGCGACTTTTTGGTTGATTTGAGGCGTGGTTTCCCTGTTTCTGGGCCTGTGCGCGCGGGCGGGATAGGGCGTGATATCCAGCGCCCTCGGTTGGTCCACGGCCGGCCCGTGCTGGGCGAGGCGCCGCGTTTGGAAGACCTCCAGCAGCACTGCTGGGCCGTCAACCAACGCGCGCTGGCGAAAGCCGCGCCTGGGCCTCTCGCGCGCGAAGTCTGGGAGAAACACACGCAGGAACTCCAGGTAGGGAAAGTAGGCCCCCCGCTGCCATTGCAGACAGTGGACCTCCACAACGCGTTGTTGGTTGAACGTTTCGGCGTGCAGGAAGTGCGGGAAGGGCGCCTTAAGGTCCGCATCGTTTACAATTTCGTTAAGAATTACGTGAATAGTGTCGCCTCTGCGCGTGAGGGCGTTTCCAACGATTCGTACGATCATTTCGCGCATGCTATTCTGTCGCTTCTGCAGGGGGCGGGCAGCGCGAAAACAGGGAAAGGCGATTTTGCTAGCGCGTTCAAAACGGTTTGCCCGGCGCACAGCCAGGCGCGGTTGATGTGGCGCCTCGTTTATGACGCCGACGCCGATGCATGGCGAGTTTCGGAGTTGCTCACGCAACCATTTGGTGCGATCGGCGGGGTGCGCGGTTGGTGGCGCTGCGCGCAGGCGTTCAAAGCCATTGCAACGCGGTTGTTCTGCATGGTGCTTCTCTTCTGCGTCGATAATTCTTTTGTGGCTGATGTGGAAGAAAACGCAGATCAGGCGAAACGCATGTTTCGTGAGCTTGTGAATCTTTTGGGCTGGGAGCTCGACGCCGAAAAATCAGCGGGCATGTCGCGCCCCATCCCCTTGCTCGGTTGCCGCGCGACTGCGTCGGGCGACGGCGTCGCCCGGCCCCAGTGCGAAGACAAGGTTACGTCTTGGAGCGAAGATGTCGCGCAGGCGCTCGGTGACAACGCGCTCTCGCCAGCAATGGCCGCGAAATTGGCTGGCAGGTTCAACTTTGCTTGCCGTCGCGCCTTCGGGCGCGTCGGGCGCGCGCGCAATCGCCCTTCGCGCTGGCGGCAGGCCGCTT